CCCCGGGCCCGGTGCCCTCAGCGCGCTGGCCCACCCCCTCACGCCTGCCCGGGCCCCACGCAGCACGGGCTTCCCGAGAGACCCAGGACAGCCGCTGTTCTGTCTCACCCAAGGCTGGTCACGTCTGTGAATCCTAGGAAATCCGGGCCCCTGCAGTCCAGCTCTCCTCGCAGTTACATTTCTTCACTTCTATTCAGGTTCACTCAGCTCAGATGCTGAAAATTACAGCTAATGAACACATGCTCCTACAGCACTCTTGCATGTCGCCTACCTCAACCTCTGCAAAAGCCCGCTCATTTTCTTTTCCTTTCTGCGCTACGCCTCACCTCAGTGCCCTCCTTCATCTCCTGGCCTGGCCGACTGACCAGGCAGTTTGGTACCTGGGCTATAGATCATTCTGGGGACGGCAGCCTCAGAGCTGCATGCTGCATTGGCTCGTTGCAGGACCTCCATCTCTGCTGCAAAGGAGGCTGGAATTGGCCAAGGCATCCCACTGCTACTAAGAGGAGACTGAGATGGGCGCTGACAGCATGAACACAGATGTCTTGTTTCCTCTGAAAACCGGCCTTGGTAGAGCGATTAAAAGGCTTTAATTTAAGCATTTCTACAGAAGCCACTGAACTTCCAAGATTTTGTAAATCTTTGAGGCTGAGGAAGACAAGAAACTGTTAACATCCTTTCATTTAAAAAATTGATTTTACTTTGTCTCATTCAAATGTCTTTTACAATTCACATTTTCAACAAAATTTCATGCAAGGAAAAGACAAACCAACTCCTACTGTGCTACCATTGTAATCCCAAATGAACTAACTCACTGCAGCCAAGGGAACAAGAAAAAGAAAATACATTTTTTATGTCAACATGTCAACAGATGTCTTGTTGGAAGCATTAATTGTTAGGAAATGCTTTTGTGAAATACAGGAAACCTCTAAATCTGCTACTGAATAACTCAAAGTTCAGGGAAAGAAATTCAAGCTCAAAACCAGCAAAGCACTTGAGGGTGGAGAGAAGCTGGCTGGCTTCTGCAACTAAGATAACGTAGGGCTGTGTTTTGTTTCATTTAAGCTGGAAGATGCACCCTGTGCTTAGTACATGTCCTGGCTTACGCAGCTGAACCAGAAATGCTGGCCAATATTCTCATTCATGTCTTCATTGAAGGGGAGAGACTAGCCAGAGGAAGCCTGCCTTGCCTTTCAGCTCCAGGTTGAATTTGTAAGTGTCTTTCCTCCAGACTGGGGGGGGCCTGGCTGCAAGGGCTATTTTGGCAGCCAGCTGGGGTACGCAGGCTGCAGAGGAAACATTGTGCTGGGATCCCAGGGGGATGTGGCATGGTGGCGAGATTTGCTTGCTGGGGAGTGTTTGCTTCCAGTCATGGGAAGGAGAGCTGGATAAACAGGAATGAAATTGGAAAAGAAAAGCCTCCAGGAACTGCATGCGGTATTTAAGAAGGATGTTACTGTTAATAGCATTAAACACATACTAAGGTTAAGAAGGCTGAGAAGCCAAGCTTTGTCTAAGATTCTTATGTAGTGCCTCTCACCTGTAGAGAGGCAAGCAGCATTGACAGTGCTAGAAAGAGGCAAAAAAAAACCCCCCAGTTTGCCCTGGCAAAAGCAGAAGGTACTTGGTTTTTATTCACGACATTACTTCAGAGTTGTGCTGGTTTCATCTGTTACAGTAATAGCCCTCATCAGTAAGCGAAGCCTTGGGGGAATGTGGGCAGGCTGTGAGGTTCTTCTCCCACAAGGGGAAGGAAGTAGTGGTTGCACAAATACCCACTCCAAAATGCAGAGGGCACTGGAAACCCTTACAGACCATCAAAACCTTTTCTGTAACAGAGCCATATGACTACTAATGACAAATGCTCACAGGAATGGCTAGAATGAAGACTTAGAAAGTTCTCTACAGTATTTTAGCATGATTTGTTTGGAATTGCATTCCATACAATTTTTCAATGAGAGGAGTCACTAAGGGGCCAAAGGCTGACTCCAGCTCTCACCGTGGTTTCCTGTAGTCAGTGTTCATTTACAGGCCAGGGAAGAGTAACCTCTACAAAGTGACAGGCAGCTGATGTCCACTCTAGATCCAGCACAAGTCTCCATGCTGCCCATTTCGGGGCCTATAGGGAGAGCACAGCCTAGGAACCAAATTCTTCCATGAATAACATTGCTACCACCCGTTCTACTTTTATTTTCCTCCTTCAAAGTATCAAAATACTCTTACAAACAATTGTCCAAATCTGAGCTGCCCCTGCAAAGTGCTCTCAGGCTAATGGAAACACTTTTACTGCTGCAGAGCAGTCTGAGGTGGGAGGCAGAGGCATTCCCCTTCCAAAGTTTTGTAGCAGTTTGCTATGTGGACTGGAATTGATGAGAGCCTAAAGATCAACAGGGCTGGAACCTACCTCGATTCACTGACTCCAAAGTCCTTGTGGGGAAACGGACACGGAGAGCCACTGGCTACACAGGTGTTCATGCCCCCACATACAGACGTTTCATACCTCGGCTCCGGGTGTGAGAGAAGGGGAATTCCCTCCAGTGAGCTGTGCTCCTTTGTCTCCACAAACTGATGGTTTTTCCTTTGCTGAGAAGGACGGTCAGTCTCTGGTTGTGCCTGCACGTCATTGCCTTGACTTTGGGGCTTGGGTACACTGGCTGTCTCTTAGGAATTTAATTCTGCAGAAAGAGGGAAGACCTGGAGGCTTTGATTTCTTCATGCAAGGAGTGCCCAGAACTGAGAGCAGGATTGTGGTTGCAATGAGAGAGTGCTAAGTTAGCCCAAATGGCTTTGCCTTAGCTATGAACGAAGCAGCAGGATGGTCAGTCTACTCCCATAGAAGCAGCCCTTGAAGCCTTTTCCAACCTGTTCCACCCCAGCTGCTCTTCCAAGAAGACCATGCTTGGCCTGACAGCTGTTTCTTCTCTTCCCCAGCCCTCTTACCTCCGTGTTGGCACAGGTTCAGACATGGAAATCGCCATCATCCATGCAAGGGTCCCAGTGTGATCCCTGCTTCCTAGGGCAGGTTAACAGCAACCACCAAGACAGCTACCCTGAATCCATGGAGATGTTACCCCAGCGCTTTCTGAACTCTCACTCTCGCCCTGCCCCAAACATCCTCCTGCAATAGGAGGAGTGGGTGAATATTTTGGAATAACATTACACCGAGAAGGGACGTGTTCTACTCTCATAGAACTTCATCTTCTCCTTCCACAGGTGAAAAATGCAGGCTGATAATATCTCCCATTCACCATGTCTAAGCTACTCAGTGCTTTCACTTTCATTCTGGTAGGTCAAGAATAGCTTTTCTGCAGTAAGAAAAAGCAGCAGTTCAATGCCAGGACAAACAGGATTTTACATGCGGCCCGACGGAGAACTGGCTTACATCCAGCACTGAACGACAGCACGTTAGAAGTTGCCCTTCCTGGAGCTCTCCTCTGTTGCCCCCGCCCGTGCCCAGCCCCGCATTAAGGGCTACGGGGACTCCCTGAGCAGGGAGTACCGAGCTGCAGCTCCGAACTCACACCGAATTCACGCCGCCAGCAAACCAAGGTGGGGAAAAACAAGCAAGTGGCTACTATGGAGGTCACGGATTGAGGGATTGTCTATTCGTGGCATCGTCGGGATGATTAATTTTGCACGGAAGGAACCGAAGAGCACGAACTGAGCTGCTTATCCCCCCTGCAGCTACAGGCGCGAGCCTCGCCTCGGGGGTCCGGAGCAGAAGAGCCCCATCCTTGCGCTGCTCAGCGCAGCGAACGCCGAGAGCCGGCGGCACGGCAAAGCGCCTGCCCCCGCGGCAGCGCCACGGAGGCGGCCCCCGAGGC